AATTTGACGAGGTCAATACCTTATATATAGACCTGTTCGGATGATATTGACCGAGGACGAAGTCCGAGTGTCAATATTACCTAACAGGGAACTTTCTGTGGCGGAGAGTAATTTCGGAAAGGAACGGATTATATCTGGATCTGAATTTAGGAGAATAGAGTGACTATATATATAAATAGAAACACAGCTTCCATATACTTAAAAATAGAAACAAGGCTTCAGGTAAATGGAATACCATTGGAATCACGTGATCGTAATAACCAATGAAAAAAGAAGAATGCTACTCCATATGTAATATTACTACATATCAAAAACTAGTATATAAATGTATAATATATCGACTTTTCAATCCTTCTTAATGTTTGGTATAACTTCGTGACAATAATTAATTGGGTAAGCATATGACTTCCTTCGTCCTCAAGCAGTAGTATTCATGAAATTTCTTGGGCAATATATGCTATACTTTTTACATGTCAGCTTGTGTCGAAAAATCAATTACTATCATACGGAAATTTCCGATTTGTTATTCAACGTGTGTCAACAAGAGCTTATATATGTGTAGGCTTTTCAGTCCAGAATCACATTTTTCATGAATCTTAGGTGAATTTGTAGTTAAGCTCACACCACTAAGGATTAACAATATAATATCTCCTGCGTACTGTTTATGTATCTTTGATGAGAGTTTTTTTTTATACCTCTAAACATGTTTAAAACTCAAATGAGAATCAAGCTCGGTGTAGGACAACAAAGGCAATATTCCATCATATAGAAAAGTTTGCGCCACCACTTTATGGTAGCCGTCCTTGGCAATGAGACGTTTAATCTCATCAAAGAACCACAGAATATAACAGCGCCACCTGTCATTTACCACCTTAAGTGTAAAGATTAAAAAAAACTTCTGTTTTTAAATACTAAGATGTGTGCAATGCACAATACAATTTTTTTTCATCGGTGAAAACACAATTAAGAATAGCAACATAATCATATGTGTGTTATCATTGGTTTGTGTCTTATTTGTTATGTGATTTTTTTAACAAAATCCCCATTGCTTCTAACAAACAAACAAATAAACTCATCATAGATACCAGGATTGAAATTTTGGATTTGCGCCAGACGCGCGTTTCGTCTACAAAAGACTCATCAGTGACGCTCGAATCAAAAAAAGTTAATAAGGCCAAATAAAGTCCGAAGTTGAAGAGCATTGAGGACCAAAAATTCCTAAACGTTTTGCCAAATACAGCTAAGGTAATCTATTCCTGAGGTAGAAAAGCCTTAGTATTTCAAAAATTCAAAGTTTTGTAAACAGTTAACAGTTAATAGATAGAGTCCTTACTGTTTTTTTTTTCTATGCACCGGGTGTTACTTTCTGTCGACTCCGCTATTGGCTGTAGAATGCAAAATTTGCGTGGCACCATATCAGTAATAAAGGTATCATATTATGTAATAAGTTTCTACATTAAACACATCTGACATTTTTGCTGCTCTTTACTTAGACTATAAATAATTATATGCTTTTCCACTTTAAACAAAAGATGAATTTAAACAAACCATTTGATTTTGAAATGAATGGAATTGAAAGAAAGTGTAATAAAGAAAATTAAAGCGGTAGAATAATGAAATGTTCATGTGTATTTAGAAAAAAAACATACCATAGTCAATACCTCAGATACAACTTATACAGCCAATCGTTATCTGTGAAATACGGTATGTTAAGTAAGAACATATATACGTACGGGATCTGATATCTGTGGCAATTCAGGCTGGATTCAATAGAATAACGGGATATATAAGAATACACAGTATCTTATCATATATCAAAACCATACAATTGCTTAATATTGACGAAAATTTCAATGGATGTCTTTTAGAGTCTTGACATGCTAAGTAACACATTAAGGACGCATTCAGCAAAAATCAGGGGCTAACAACAACTAGCCAGTTCGCGGTTTGTTTGTCATTTTACTTACGTATGTGAATAGACGTATTTACACTTGTATGCAAATTTGTCCGCCATTACGTAAAATCACACAGGTTCCCGGAAACTTTTACATCATAATTCAAAACATTTGACGTCACAAATAAAAAATTGAATGTTGCCTGACGTCAAAAGGTGATTCGGAGTAGATCTAAGGTCATTCGGAGGCAAAATATAGCTAAATACCAAAAGTGTAAATACGTTTATTGTATTGAGAAAATCCACTACATCATGCGACATTAAATGTATTATACGAGAAAACATTCTGTGTTAGTTACATAATGCTATTTAAGTATATGAACATGTTCGTTTTTAAAGAATGCAGTTCCCTCCTTCTTAGTCTGATTTTTATTCAATTGTATTTCATTAATGCTGTTTCGTAGACCTTTACCCACTAAACGAGTACACAAACGTATAAGTATAGCGACGGTAATAAGAAACTTGCTGCCCGAGAACGATAGGTCGGGAGTGCTGCTTTGCTTGTATGGCATTTGTATCTTTTCTGATAAGCAATAACATCTATGTTTGCGAAAAAAATTAGATCGGTCGAGATACAAGGCAAATATGTCATTTTATTGCAAAAGAGGTGACAGAACTACAGAATATTGTCTTGTTTGGGGTATTTTGGCTGCATATGTGACCAAACATGCTTCTTAACGGGCGACTTTATTGAAGTGGTTGTAAAAACTAACACTTTGTTTATGATTTCAATAGCAGAAGGTGATCATCGGATACAGTACTTTGTAATTTTGCTCACACATTGTCGTCAATATAATGGAATTTTATGTGAGTGAGAGGTTTAGCTAGCAATCAAACCAGGTTTAATCGACCATTTTCTACATACGGAAAGGCCTGTACCAAGTCAGGAATATGACAGTTGTTTTCCATTCGTTTGATGTGTTTGAGCTTTTGATTTTACCATTTTATAAAGGACTTTCCGTTTTGAATTTCCCTTGGAGTTCGGTTTTTATGTTATTTTACGTTTTGCACATCAATTTCTGAAATACCATTGTTCTCAACAAAAAATGAAAATTATTTTTACCGCCAAGTGAGTGATTTTTGTCGCCATAACTTGTATGTTCGAAACGTAGCATAAACCGAAGGATATCTACTTTGATATTGTACATGTTGGATTTAAAATGATAAAGAAAATGACAACAGAGGGAATGCTGTCAGTTTTCTATTTTAGCACTAAATTATACTTATATTAGGTTATTAGGTTATTAGGTATTCCCAGAAATGAGGAGGATCGAGTTGTTGATAATGGGTAGACAAGATAGTTCAAAATTCGTGGGCATGTAATTTAAGAACAAGTCTCATTTACTGTGTGTGAACTAAGAAAAAAAAACATGATCTTGCAGTTTTGAATGATGTTCATTACAGCTTAACGTACTAACGTTATATATTGGCTGAGGTAATCGCGATTGTAATGGATATCAACAACAATGGTATTATGCGTGATATGATTATATCTTGTCCTCCCAAGGAATAGTTCAAAGTTTAGACACGTTCCCAGTCATTTGTTTAAATGTGGTCATTAAAACCCAAATTTTAATATGCTTTAAAAAATGAAAACAACACGCTATAAAATGTCATGCGTTCAAAGATTCCTAGATTTACCTTCATCAGGAACGCCCAAAACCGAATATTTGAAAGCCAAGGATGTATAAGAACTAATTCCTTTTTACGCCCTTAATGCCAGAGATACATTCATTTTTCAAAGCACTGTGTCGATACCGCTGCTGGTAGACTTTCAGTCCCCAAGATAGTCATCACCTCAGTAGTCCGTAATTAGGTGCCTATATGTTCAAACATAAAATTCCCTATTGAAACTAGAAGTTGGATAAATATTCCAAAGAAGAGAGATTTTGGACATTATGTACCACAAGGAATAGGAAACGCGTCTTACTTCATTTTATGTGCAAACATGAAGTAATCAGTAATTTAATAATCAAATATATTCCTAGGTCTTATGTTGCTTATTTAAGAGAAGAAAAATTAAAGGCCTGTTGATGTGTTATAATGTCACCGTGTTAAATAATCTTGCTATCTTTCTGAACAAAGTCACAAAATATCTAGTGTAAAGCTGTTATTTACCAGTATCTGTTTCTTTAAAATTTAGTACTATTATGTCAGTTAAATCCTAACACTAAATTGCTTTCTAGTGTAACTGTGTTTAGTACGTGACAATGTCATCTATAGTCTGATTTTGTTGATGTTAACATGATTATATAGGTTAATTATACTTTCAAATATATAAAGAGGAACATATTAGTTGGTTATACTTTAAGATAATTTATGTTCGCATTTATCCACTCTGTCCTGTTTGCCATTGTATTATTGTATATATGTTGTATTTGCCTGATTTTACAACGTATACTGTCATAGTGATCAATAAAATCTTGAATCTTGAATCTTGGTGCACACATAATTTATAACAAACCTTTCCAAAATTAAGACAAAGTTGACCTTATCTAAATTTGGCTATTATTTTAGGCCCATTTTGTTCATCTAGCTCTTCAACTGTTTCGGTTCTTAAACATTCTTGATTGTTTTAAATATTCAGCTTTGAGCGTTTCTGATGAAGGTAAATCCAGAAAAGAGTTTCGGATAACGAAATTTATCCAGTGTTTGTTTCCTTTTTTACAGCACTGGGTCGATACCCTGTTGATTAATTATCAGTCGTCGAGGGTATCGCAACTTCATTATAGATTTAGAAATTATTAAGAAACTAAGGTTTCAACTGCTTTAAGAAAAGTTGACCTTAGCTAAATTCGGATATTTTTTAAGTTCTTTTTGGTCATTTTGCTCTTCAAATATGGCGGTTCCTATACATCCTTGGCTTTTAAATATTAGGCTTTGAGCGTTCCTGCTGAAGGTATAACCAGAAAAGAGCTTTAGACGCATGTCATTTATAAAGTGTTGTTTTCATTTTTGATCATCTTCTGAAAACGTTTTGAAAAGTAATGGAGGGAAAATGACATTCATAAAAAAGTAGGGAAATGTAGTTAAATAGAACACGTAAACGGTTAATTGTACCATTTTATTTTGTAAATTTACATGATTAACTTGACTTTATATATTTAAATGCAAATAAACTTTATTATACTAAAAGACTTGAAAGTTAAATAATAATCAACATTAACGTAAGAACATGTACCCTTAAGCTTTGAAGGTCCATCATTATAACTCGTGTCGGTTGTAAAAATAAATCAATTACATAACCTTGATAACACAACGATTGGGTACCCGTCAAAATGAAATACAGAATGTACGACAACTAAGCTTTTTCGGTTTTGATTATATATGATATAGTTGAAATGATTTTCTACTCATTTAAACACAGTAAATGATAAAAAGAAATGGAGATCATCGGTCTCTGTTTTGAATCTAGTATTAAAAACATCATATTACGATAATGATTTGTTTGAATAGCTAACCAACATTGATGTTTTAAAGCTTCATTCATATCCTTTTCTTGTCCCACCTTTAATAACCTTCCCGTTGCAAAAATACGTTTAATTGTAAAACTGTCGGAAGGTTGTTTCTTAGCTCTTTTAGAAAAAAACAATATTGAAACTTCTTGAAAACCAGAGGAACGACGAGTAAAGCTCACGAAATGATACCTCCCGACCCTTGCAAGGAAAAAAAAAAGAATAAGTATAAAAAAGAAAATTATAGGTGCATAATGGTATCATATGGTGAAGATTCTGAGAAAGTATTAATTAATTCAAATAAGAGGTTGAAGAAAAGAAGCGGATAAAGATGTGAACTTTAGAGTGCAGATATGACGGAATTCATTTCATGCCATATCAAGCACTTAAGTATTTTAATAAAGAAATGAAACAGGAGGTTCCAAATTGCATCATGTGACTAAGAGTCTGTGAAAGTGTCACACAATAATTCTGTCAAGCAGTTCGGGATCAGTAGCGGATACAGAAATGGGAAGTATGGATGACCATACGAAAACGGAAAACGGACCAATATCCGAATAACTATATACTACCCTCTTCATGAAGCAAATAGTAAAATGCAATGAAAGTATAAAATTCATAGGGTTGCCAATAAAGTTAAAAAAGTATCGAAAATATGTCCTGAATAAAAAAGAAACATTAAGATAAAACAACAACAAATACTGAAAAGAAAGGATAAAGAAAATAAAGCACATGGTGGCATAGTAGGGGAATAACTTGTTTGTTAGAAGTGACCTCTTTCTTTTTGTAATGCTATATATATAGATAACATGTAATAATACAAAAGTAAACGAAAAATGTACAGGGATGTTTCTAATAAAAAAAAATCGTAATTATGTATACTTATGGTACATAAAAGATGTTTACACAAAATATCTTGTTTATTATAAATATGCGTTAATACAAATAACAATGGTAATAATATTAGATAACTTAATATGGTCAACATTACAAAAGGTATTTTACAGATTTGTAAATGTATCAATATGTAGTTTTGAAAAGAATTCACACTGAACAATGATGGATGTATTAAACCAATTGACATGGAGATCATATGACCCTAGTATTGTCCTTTGTGGTCTGTTCAAATACACACGATACACTAAATCTACAGAATTTCAAATTTGATCTTTTGAATATATTGCAGCTGTCGTAGCGACATAAGTGTGAGTTTTGACCTTACAGTTTGACCTGAATAATAACTATAAAATCCCCGGCTCGAGTGCGTGTTCCAGATCAATATTCAGAAATTGCTCATTAGCATTTTTTTTTTTTTTTTTATGTGTTTCCAGAAATTATTAGCCACATTATATATCAGTACTGGGAATAACACGTTTTGATGATGACAAACACCTAACAAAGAAGGACAAACATCAAAGAATCACGATTATAGAACATCCGTAGAAACGAGAATATAACGAGTCTTAATTTGGACAGAATAGTTAGTCGTTTCTAATCAAATTCGTCAAGATTATAGCCTGAGTGAAGTGGAGTCTTCCGTATTGTACATTGTTTTGCAAACAAAATTAAAGAACGATGCGAATGCTGTTACGTAAATATGTCGAACTAGGTATCGTTGCTCATAATTTTATAACGTAAATGAATTCACAAACAAATGCTGCCCTACATACATGTTCAACGTTTCAGCATTTTTTGGGGAAATTATAAGAAACGATATACCCAATTAAATGACTAACAATGTCGTTGTTATTATCTGATTACGGAATATGAATCCAATTTAAATGATGGGAACCATTAACATGACAGGACTAATGGTGTATTTATAATAACGTTCAAAGTCAAAAAAGGTAAAAAATGCAAAATCAAACAAAATAGCTTGACACTTTAAAATTATCGATTACAACTGGAATTGAAAACATACTTTTAATCATCATCGTATGTAATGGGGAAAGCCAGATTTTTCTTAAACACCCACAAAACGTGTTCAGTAATTTATTATAAAAACAAGTTCGATTTTTACAATTAGTGGCCAATGTGTTATGTTTTTGGGAGAATCATTATTTATATGATTTTAGTAAAATTTCTTGAAACCATATTTTCAATTACTCAAAAACTCCACATGGTTATTTTTGAAGGAATCTTAAACAGGACTTCTTGATCCAGTATGATTTAAACTGATTTCAGTAAGTATATCGGATCCTTATAAAAATAAAAATAATTGATCTTTCAGATACAACTATATGCATGCATATTTTTTGTTTGTTTTTATAAATGTTTGCAATTATATGTTGTTGTTAAATGAAAATTACGGACGCAATATTCTGATGACAATAAACACAAGTAGTATATAAAAAGTTGCGAATAGATACATAAAGAAATGACAGAATGCTTAAAATTTATTAAACATTCGCATACAGTGAATCACTAGAATCTCCCTCAAGTAACAACCTAACACACTTGTAACAATATTCGTACTGATCCTGAAATAGACAAAGGAAATATATAGGTTATAGATACGTCATTCTTATAAAAATGTTTACATATCTAATCTACAAAAGAGCTTTATTTTAAAAAGAGGAAGGTAGAAGAAAATATCATATGTATTTCGTCATCGATGGACCAAAAACTAATAAGGAAAACAGTATTGTTCAACATTAATAAGCTTAAAACATTGAATAGTTAAAAACGTATAACAAATAATTTTACCAGTTTGGTAACCCAGCCTTTTAAGATATGTATATCTCAAGGGGTATTTGTTGCATATAATGAGATGCATTATGTTGTAAAATATATTTCATCTAATTAATTGAATTACGTATTATGATAGAGGGTGGGTCTACTACAATGTATGTAAAGCCTTTCTATAAATGATAGAATCATTACAAAAAAAGAAGCAATCGATGGTAAAACTACACGCTTGCAAGTAATTTTATTCTTGTATTGTAAATGTCTTGATTTAAGCACCACTGAAGACTCTTATGCAAACAACAAAAAGCACACGTATTTCGTTCTAAACTACAATCCTGGTATCTTTGATAATATTTTACAACTACTAAGTGTATTGTACCTAATAATGTCACAATTATGTAATACTAAGCGCCTTGCTCATGAAACTGCTGAATATGAGCAGTTTTCCATCTATACTTCCGTTGTGGAAACATCATGCGCAGCCAAAAATCAAGAATTAATTGAAGAGAAGCTTTATGAAAGCTATTAACATAATCTCACTAAATACAAAGTTGCTTCTTGGGTGTACCCATACTTCATTTTATGTATTTCAGTGCAATTATACACATGTTATACTTGCCAATTTATGTAAAATAAGGAAAATCAAGAAACGTAACTCAAAAAACAATTTCGGCAAGTTTTTGGCCATAGTTACTCGTCAAATGTGATTTTTTAAAAGTTTTCTATAAACCTTTTACCTTACTGCTGTAAGGGATAATTAAAGAACACTTATTGTATTTTTTTTAATTTTCACTAAATATTCGACAAAAAGGGCATTATTGCCTCTACTCCTTTCGTTACATTCACTGCTTTAGAAGAAAACACTCCATTTTCACCAACCTTGTTTTACGACCTTCGTCTTTCACATAATCATTAAAAGAAAAAAGAAATAAAAAATGATAGCGTGCACATTCTTTGGAATATCGTTTTAAGTGGATCATCAGCAACTGGAAATTTTCCATATACAGTTTGTATAAATGGAATGTTAATAATGAAAAACTTGGTCATCAACTTTGACTTAAGGTTAAGCCCTCAATAACCAATGAGTTATTTGAATGCATCTTTAATTAGCATATGTCATTGCTAACTGATGGGACTGAGAGTAATTTCCAGTCACTAAACACTTACAAAGTCCACAAGGAATTCTGGTCGCCTTATTTGAATCTCTCTAACTACTTGGAAAATATCAGTTTCCTCATCTATCTGCATTTTTTCCAAAACCAACCGCAATGCTACAAATAGTCCACTCTTACTACAGCCATCCCTGAAATATTGAGAAACCATAGCATAATAATGTTTATTTGATAATTATAACAAATAGTAATAATAACTATTTTTATTTGTTAACAAATCTTCAATGTTTCAAGGTCATCATTTTGAGTTGTCTTTCAGGATTACATATAGCTAAATATGCCAATGCTTATTCTAAATTCAGGCAAAATCTAAGTTTCTAAATTTAGGCAACACTTGTTTACCAATGTTCAAATCAAGGTAACAATCAAAAAACATGCCGATAGTGTCATGAGTGTGTCGAGACACAGAGACATCATATTTGTAAACCAATTTGTGATAGTGACTGTTAAACTTATGTAGTGTCGATTTCAGTCTTTCTTCCCGATAATTCTGTTTTGTGAGCTTTGGTTCAAGGAGAACATTCCTGGTAATGATGTCAATATAATGTGAACATGCCTATGCTTAACTTATTAGTTGAGATATTGGCAGATGGCATATTTCTGCTGAAAAATGGAAAGGTGACAATGGGAAAATGAAAACTTCACCTTTTCCATAGCTTCTATTTTAAACTCGTCCATTTGTGTCAATATCGAGGAGGATATCAAGATGTAAAGCAGACATTGTAGTTTCGGTTGTATCCTTAATTTCAAGTTCACTAGAATATATGAGATGCAAACACTCGCTTAAATGTGGGTTACTGAGTGAAAGAATATCAACCATAGATCTGTAAGTGAAATTATAGAAGCTTGGACTACGCATTTTTGGGGTCTTAGAGAAGGTACTGTATGATTTCTGCTTCATATGAGTACAAATAGACCAAAAGTGGTGCACACTTGGTAACCACTTGAGTAACGACTGTCTATAGAAATATAAATAGTCGAAACTCAACAAATAAATTATCAATCGAAATGTCCAGCATTGTGATGACATTATCTTTGGTGTACTTGTTGGAATCATTGTGGTTCTTCTCATAGTAAGATTGTACATGAAATTTGTATCTACGATTCCCAGTTCTGTAGACAAACTCTGTTAAATGAGACAGTGTAGTCCATTTTGTAGTTGATCTTGGTGAATAGTAGTGGTTAGCGTAGAAATATAAAAACTGTTTACTGCAAGATTGTAAAAATCGTGATTGAAGATTTTGTAGTAAATTCCAAGACATTTCTTAAAAATAGTCAATTCGACGACTGCCACTAGTGGAACAGGAACTGCCTACTCTTCAGGAACATTTGAATTTACGCTCGGTTCATGTTGCTCTATCTTTAGTTGTATATATAATATTGTATTGACTGTTGTTTGTCCTTGTGTTTTTTCTATTTGTTCAATGTGTTGTCTGTTTTTGTTTTGACTTTTGCTTTGTGATTGCACCTTGGTATTTTTGGTTCTTTTTTGTATCGGCACTTTTGGACGATGGATAGCATACACGTCGTGTTATGATGTGAAATACTTAGAACAAAATATCAGGCAAAACTAATTGGGACATTTTTGCAAAATCATAGCTGTGGCAACGACATAGCTAAAGTTATATGTATATACCATTTAAACTTGTCTTTTTTTAAATTAATTTTCGAAGGACTTACCTACAAACTACAGTGATAGGACCTTTATGCGTTTCCCAGCAGCTTTGTACACGCTGCAGAAGATCTAACATATACTCTGGTGACAGTGGTGCATTACTTATAGTCCAGTCGTTTGCAGTAAATACATTGATTGAGATTTTTTCTTTATTTTTCTGTAAACGTAAATCATACTAAAATGTTGTTTTAATTCTTTTAACACATCATGTTTAAGATATTTAGTAGATTACTAAAACGACATTATTTAACTGTGGCAGAAATACTTATACTTATAAAATTATCTTCAGGTCTCAAAACAGTATGTCAATTATCTTCGTATCAAAAAAGTATAACAAAAATACCGAACGCCAAGGTAAATTCAAAATGTTCAAAAGGGGATGTAACAAAAAAAAAATCAAACGCTACCAATCAACGGAACAAGTAAAAAACAACTGTCATATTCCTGACTTAGAAACAAATTCAAACAAACATACAAATTCATCTAACAATGACGCCAACAAATACAGGTTTAGTAGATAATAAATGCACAGAACTGCATGAAACTTTTAATGCAGCTAATAAAGTATTAAATCAATGTGCTGTGTACATAACTGAGGGTCTGAATGTGAGTTCTTATCTATTTTTTTTTTGCCATTTTTTCTTTATTTTTCCTATTTTAGTTCCCAAGTTTTCACAGATTCTTTATTTTCTTTGCTCATCTTTTCTCTTTTCTGTATATTTTCTAATTATATTCTAATCTGTAAACCCTGTCTTAGACTATATATAGCTATATTATTTTAATGATGACAGCTGCAGTGAAAAAAACATTGGTTTTCGTCAAATACGAGGTTTCTTTCCAGCATATGACTACAGACAAAAACATATATTCTCTTTATTTGTATTCTCCGCGTATTCCTTCTTATTATGGTCGCAAGGTATTACCAAACATGGAGCTTGTATGACGTTTGGAAATATAACACCTTTTAAACGGAACCAAAGAGGAGTATTTGAATATTGTTTTTGGGTCAATTAATACATCTTGAACAGTTGTTAAAACGGAAGTGATATAGATTTACTCTCTGTTTTTTTATCGTCTGGCATATTTATGATTTTACATTTATATAAAAAAACAGCTTCTACTAACCGTATGATTCAATGTTAGCTGAATCTCTTCTTGTGCATTTTCTGTTTCTTTGATAATACGGAAATCATCAAACTGTAGCATTTCTTTCTTTTCTAACCATAATGGAGCTCCCTAAATAAAAGAAACATTTAGCCTTAAACTATTAATTCTAAATACACAAAATATATGTTCGCTTCCAAAATACTGTAAACAGACATATGTTGGAGGATATTTGTTTCGCTTAATGGCCATTTCAGCAGAAATTGCAGCCAAGTATTTTGGTACTTCTGTTGCTGTGTTCGTACAAGATATTATCCCAATGTAACACCGTCTGCTTACCTTTCCGAAGCACCAGAGATCACCCCCGGTTTTGGTAGGGTTTGTTTTGCTCAGTCATTAGTTTTCTATGTTGTTTGTCTTTTGGTATTTTCTTTTTTTGTCTTGGCTTTGTCAGTTTATTTTCGACTTATGAGTTTGAAAGACCCTTTCGTATCTTTTGCCTTTTAGCACTGATATATATATATATATATATATAAACGCCTAAAAAGTGTACACAACAACACCAATAACAAAAAAGGAACTATAAATGTAATTATTTATAAATATTTCGGATAACAGCTATCCTTCATCAGTAAATATGATTGTGATGTTGAATGAATCATATATCAGTCTACTTAAATTAAACTATAACAATCTTGAAATTTATACAATAAAAAAGTCAAACCGAACATCAGGTAAATATCCCTCGTGGGAAAAATCGTTGACTATTATTCAGACGTTTTATATATATATAAATATATATATATATATATTCACATTAGATTTTTACTCCTTAAGATTGTACTATTTGATTGCAATTTCAGATTCTGATGCGCACGAAGTGTTTTTTTAGAATTCGACATTGATTAGGTATCTAAAATACGCTAGACAAAGAGTAAACACTGGACACTTTTAATTTGCAAAACACTCATTTGCAAATCCGCCGCCGCCTCTCCTTAGACCTACAGTGTCGTGTATATAACCAAAATGTGCGGAATTACATGGGATTCAATAATTTCATTGCTTTTCTGCTGTTATTATTATATATATTTTGTAATTTGATTTAGAAAAACATGGGATTTTCAATATCCCATGGGATAAGGCAAATCCCATGGGATTGACCATTATCCCATGGGATTTTGGTTAAATCCCATAGGATTTTTTTGGGTCCCATGGGATAATTGTAGTCCCATGGGATATTTGTTGTCCCATGGGACAAATAAAATCCCATGGGACTATAATTATCCCATGGGATTTTTAATATCCCATGGGATAAAATAAAATCCTATGGAATTCAAATTATAAATATACAGTAATGTGTATGTTACAATGAATTCTGTTTGGTAGTAAAAAGTTTATAATATATATATGAGTGTATTTTGGTTTTTTTCATTTTGTCACAAACATGTTTTTAATTTGTTTATATGACAATAAAGATTATTATTATTTTGGAAAGTATAATACTATTTAAAGTCAAAAAATAAAATCCTTTTAACTGAAATAAAATGATGACATGTCTTATTAAAAGGAAAAAAATATTGATTTGAAATCTTTGTCTTGTTTGTTTTATTATGAAAAATAGAACTGAAAAAAATATTTCATATTCTGACTGAATAAATTGACAAAGCACAGTTAATAGTTTACTCTTTTCATGAGTTAAAATTTTCTTAGTTATAGTTCCATTGCAATACATGAATATGCAAACGATTTGAATCTTATACCTTTGTGGTGTTCTTAATATTATGTTTATATTTGCAAATTTATAAAATAAACACTTTTCCTGTTAAGTTTTAGTTTTCTTGTTTCAGCTTGCTATGAACAATTATTCAGTCCACTATATAAGAGTCAAGTAAATAAATTATTTCATCCACTAGAATATTTCTACAATTCTTAGACAAAACATTTTTGCAGTCTGTTCTTCAAAAATCTTCCTCCGTACATCTTTATTGGATGGAGCGATTTAAATGAGTAGACAAAGCAAGTTCATTTGGACAACAAAATACTAATATATTTTTTCATTCCTCCCTTCTTTCAATTGATAATTACGTTGTTGCATTTACATGATTAAGTTCTTGTGCATCTATGATCATGATGATATGACTCCTTTTTGTTTATAGTCATTATGATGAAATTTCCTCTTTCTTATGTAGGAAAAAAACACATTTCATTTCAAATTAATAAAAAAGTCACACTATGTAGAAAAATATCAACTTTAAGTTTTCTGTTTAGTATTGACTTGTTGAATGATGATCATGAAAACCAAGATGTCTGACCTACAAATACACAAAACTCAAAAATTATAAATGAAGAGAAATACAGCAATAAAATGACTATTTTATCATGTATATGTACATTTTGATAAAACTTTCATTTGAATATTTAAAATTGTAAGAACTCTTATTTCAGTGCTTTGTGTCTATGGTTTTTATATTAGTTGTTTTTGTGCCTTGTTGCAGTCTTTTGAGTTAAGCCAATTGCAACAAATGTTTACAGTTTGTTCAAATGCTGTGCTGTTATTAAAACCACTGTCCCAGGTTAGGGGTGGGTTGGGTGCTCATAAAATGTTTATTTTATTAGTTGATATTTGCTTTGAATTAGCTGTCAGTAACTGTGAGTACTAATAGATCTGTATGTTGAGTCTTTTTTGTTAAAGGGAAAGAATAAATTTCCAGCCACATCCGGTCTGTGTTTTTGGTAGCTGTTTTTTCTGCTTTGTTGCATTCTAATGAGTTAATAAAATTGAAAATGAAAACGGGAATCTATCAAAATAACCTGACCAAAGAGCAGAAAAAAACCCTTTTCAACTGATTTTATAGTTTTTATATTTTTATATTGAACTGACACTTACACCACTGTCCTTAATAAGGGGAGGATTTGGCGCCAGCAAACATGTAAAACCATGCCACATTTTGTAAGTGGCTGTGCCAAGTCAGGGGCCTGTTATTCAGTGGTTGTCAATTGTTGCTATATATCATATTTGTTTTTTGTTTTTTGTTTTTTGTTTTGTGCAAAAATCAGGCACTTAGCTTTCGCCTTTGTGGTGTTTCCCCAAGCATGTTTAGCATGGATAGACACCATGCCTTTTTTGAATTGTTTTACATTTGTTATTTCATGGCCTTTTATAGATTACTATGCAGTATAGGGTTTGATCATTGTCGAAGGCTGTACAGTGAACTAATTTTGTTAAATTTAATGTCATTTGATCTCTATTGGAGAAAAGTCTCAATGGCAATCGTACCGCTTCTTATCTTTATATTAACCATGCCATATTTTGCCTGTCCAACATCAAGAGCCTGTACATAGTTCAGTGGTTGATGTTGGTTCACGTCCGTCATACTTGTTTTTTCATAACTTGTTTTTTTTTATAAATTAGTCTGGTTTATTTGAAGTTTGAATTGATGTTTTGTTCCAAATTTTGTTTGTGGGGTCTTTTATAGATGACTATATCATGTATAGGGTATGGGTTTTCTCATTATTTACAGGTCATCATTGGCCTCTAATAAGTAATTGCATTGCTCACATCCACTTAATTGAGCTCTGGTGGATAGTTTTCTCATTTATCATACCACATCTTATTTTCATAATAATCATTATTCAAGGGCAATAACTTTTATAGAAGTTGACTTACCATTTAGGCTTTGTTGACGTCTGTAAATCTATTTTTGTTGATAATTTCTTTTGTTTATAGTTTCCCTTTATCTTTTATGTTCTTGCCCTACACATAAAAGGGTAAACATTATCATTTAATGACAATAACTACTATTAGATAATTAGTACTAGTAGGCAACTGACAATTTTGGATCATTTGTATATCTTGTCTTACTCATCATTTTTGCTGTTTAATATTATCAATATTCTATGAAATTGAGGTCACAGTAATATTAACCTTGGCAGACAGACATCTTATTTTTATATGACCACTTGCAGTCATTCCATACACCAACAAATAGACATATGCTTATAATATCTGATAAAATGAAACAAGAGTGCACACGCTGAAATGTCTCGCCTTCTTTACTAGTCACTGATATTATGTTGATAGTCCTAAATAAAAAGCTTTATTACAACTGTCACATAAACTTAACATTAACCAAGAAAACTAAACATTGACCAATGAACCATGAAAATGAGGTCAAGGTCAGATGACCCATGCCAGGCAGGCATGTACAGCTAACAATTCTTCCATACAACAAATATAGTTGACCTATTGCTTATAGTTCAAGAAAAACAGACCAAAACACAAAAACTTAACACTGACCAATGAACTGTGAAAATGAGGTCAAGGTCAAATAAAACCTGTGCGACTGACATATAGATCATAAAATATTTCCATACACCAAATATAGTTGACCTATTGCATATAGTATTAGAAAAAAAGACCAAAACTCAAAATCTTAACTTTGACCACTGAACCATGAAAATGAGGTCAAGGTCAAATAACACCTGCCAGCTAGACATGTACACCTTACAATCATTCCATACACCAAATATAGTAGACCTATTGCATACAGTATAAGAAAAACAGACCAAAACACAAAAACTTAACTATAACCACTGAACCATGAAAATGAGGTCAAGGTCAGATGACACCTGCCAGTTGGACATGTACACCTTACAGTCCTTCCATACACAGAATATACTTGACCTATTGCTTATAGTATCTGAGATATGGACTTGACCACGAAAACTTAACCTTGTTCACTGATCCATGAAATGAGGTCGAGGTCAAGTAAAAACTGTCTGACGGGCATGAGGACCTTGCAAGGTACGCACATACCAAATATAGTTATCCTACTACTTATAATAAGAGCGAATTTAACATTACAAAAAATGTTAACTTTTTTTCAAGTAGTCACTGAACCATGAAAATGAGGTCAAGGACATTGGACATGTGACTGACGGAAACTTCGTAACATGAGGCATCCATATACAAAGTATGAAGCATCCAGTTCTTCCACCTCCTAAAATATAAAGCTTTTAAGAAGTTAGCTAACGCCGCCGTCGCCGGATCACTATCCCTATGTCGAGCTTTCTGCGACAAAAGTCGCAGGCTCGACAAAAACCAAGAAAACTTAGCATTGACCAAAGAACCATAAAATGCGGTCATGGTTATATGAATCTGCCAGATTTTTTTTTGTATTAAAAAAGATAATGACAACGCTATCTGTAGATGCACGTGAAGTCGTCAAAATTCTTTAATTATCAAATGTAATTTGTACACTAGTCTCTCATCCTTAGTGAATGGAGTATTGGATAGAATTGTATGTATGGTCAAAAAGGGGACGTTAACTCTGATGGCTAGTGAAGAGAGAATGCCACGCTCTTTGCACGTTAAGAACACTTGCAACAACTCTTTGAGGGGTCCGTAGGTGGTCTGCTGAAAGGCAAAATTTCTATCCCTATCCATCAAACCTCATTTACCTATCTCCGCTAGGCGTCGCTAGGTAAACTCAATTTGCGACAGTAAAATCTACGTTGTACGAAGGCCACGCTTGAAATACAATACAGTTATCTCCTAATTTTCTAATGGCACTTTCAAATTTTCAGACCTTCATCCTGGACGACCCCTATTACAGGACCTAATGGCTACCTGTATTTATTGTAAATTTTTTTTTTCCTGAACATGCATAACTATTTGCCACTGGACATCAAGTTAGCAATCAATCAATCAACTAGCTTTCAGTAACTTCGAGTATTCTCAGATCTACATGTAATGACCATAGTTATTCCTAAGCAGGTAGGGATTATACAGTAGAGGATATCAGAAAATATGAATTTCTTGAACTTTGTCATGATAGTATGAACAGAACGTGACTTCTGCATTGGGCATCAACTGTGTGTGAGTGTCAAAACATGGATGGTCAATGTGTAGCCCAAAGGATAGTTTTATTATATATAGTAGTCTCAGTTTTTACGTGCCTATTCTTTTAATTAAGGATCGTCTATTATATACTATCAATTAACGTATATATCAATCACCTCAATCAGAAAGGAATAGATGTGAAAATACTAAATAGGATGTACTGCTTAATTAAAGTGCTACACTGATCTACGCTGGGCAATGCATATTGTAAATAATTTTTTTTTTTTTAGATTTCCGATCATACTGCTCTAATTCACCAATTTTTTATAATTCTTCGAACTTTTCTTCATGTATATTCATGATATTATCATGATAAAATAACCATTAAATTTAATATTTTTTGTACACAAAATTCTGCAAATAAAATGCTGAAAACCGTTTGTGCCTACAGTTGATTGGATACCTAGCTATGCCCCTGTTGCACACCTTACAATTGTTACATCCGCCAAATATAATTTACCTGTTGCTTAAAGCATATGATAAACTGACAAAACAATGCAAACTTTTCATTGACCAATGAACCATGAAAATGAGGTCAAGGTCATATAAAACATGCCAGACAGACATGTGCATCTTGCAATCATTCCATTCACCAAATATAGGGGCCTTATTGCTAAAAGTATCCGAAAAAAAGACCAAACCACAAAAACTAAACATTGTCCAATGTACTATGAAAATAAAGTCAAGGTAAGATGAAACTTCTCAGTCAGACATATGCACCTTACAATCATTCCATACACCAAATATCATGAATATAGTTGACCTATTGCTAGTTTGAAAATAAGAAAATAGAAAAACTGACCAAAAAACAAAAAAATAACATTGAGCAATGAACTATAAAAATGAGGTCAAGGTCGAATTAAACATGCCAGACTAACATACATCCTTAAAAATTTTCATACACCAAATATACTTGACATGTTGCATACAGTATTAGAAAAACTGGACATTTTTACCTCGGAATAGTGATGTCATGGACTAGGAAAATTAGTCTGGGGACATAAATTACTGACATCGGACTATATATATATACTAGTACATGTAAATTCTGTATCCATGGACTTTTAATACTACATGTAGTTATATTTGTCTGACCAGACAATTTTCATGATTTTTACAAGGACTAATTTATCTCTTACACTAGTTCTCAGAGAGGCATGTCACCTTACCTTGACACATTATTCTGACTCTGAACAAACCAGTATTTGCTCTTACTCCTTAATAATACTGCGTGCTTAGGGGAGAAGCAGCAAATACCAACTTTAAAGTCTTTGGTTTTACCCGGTTGGGTTTCAAAATAAACAACCTTCTGCACTTGAGGTGAACACGCTACCACGAGAACAGGCAGTATAATATAAGGAGTTTACCCAAGATTTAAAATGAACAGTAGATTGTTTTTCAACATTCTGAACATTTCTACCCTTGTCAGATATTGTCTATCTATTTTGGCCTATTGTAGCTTATTACGCAGTTTGGCTTTTTAGCCCATTGTTGAAATCTGTACGGTGACCTATATAGTTGTTAACTTCTACGTCTTTAGTTTCTGTTGAAGAGCCGTCACATTGGCAATGATACTATATTTGTATATATTTTTGTCATGTAGGTGTAAGGAGACAACCTCTTGATTTTCTGGTGGGATAAAAAGGGGAGACAGATTTTTTATCACCTGGCCTGGTTAGTTTTTCAGGGTTCGTAAGGATAGAAAACCCGGCAAATTGTAACAAACCCCTGTGGTACGACCATATTTGCCAAAATATTAGTCCAAATAATAATGACGTCTTGCAAGGCTATTTTAACTTTTTTTTATGCAGATAGATAGATACTTGTTTGGGGAAGAGGTGATTAACCGAACCAGTATTCAATCTAAATCAGTGAACTGAATTATTGTCTTTTGCAGTAGTCCGAGTCGACATCTGTAACTAATCATGCAAATTGATAGTCAACAGTATACCTTTTTCAGAATGTCAGCTTACAACAAAGAATCACTGGTGATAGGGGAGTGTAACCGATAAATTGATCCTGAATCAGATAAGATTTTCCCAGTAACGGAGAACCCCTTTCTTTCAGTGAATATAAATAGTGACGGGGGTCTCACAAATAAATATAAATCTGAATTACAGGAACATCGATTAGCAAAGTAAACTTACATATCAATCTCGAAGTTATTTACGGTAAAGACAGACTGTGCTCCTGAATTAAGGTATTATACATTTGTGTATTTTACTCGGGGGGGGGGGGGGGGGGGGTCATTTCCTATATACAAGGTGATAGGACGTGCCGCTAGAATAGGTCACTTTTTCCAGCTTGAAAATATGGGAATAGGTGGGGAAAACATCAGAAATATATGATTAGGTCGATAAAGTTCCAATTACTTGTATATGAAAAGCCCTGTCATTTAATCACAGCCAAAAGTCTCGCCGTAAGTAAACATTATACATTGAATCTTAGTCTTAAAATATTCCACGTTTCCAACACACTCCACGAAACCCAATCAATATGGGAAAAGGTTACAATTTTACCCACGCAATATATGAAAAGGTATACATTTTTACTGAGACTACTATAACACACTGACACTTAACACAGAGATTGGTCACTATAGATTTATCGGATTATCTGCGTCTCCGGTAGTTAGCTACGTTATTTTAACGTAGTTTCGTATTCGACCGTAGCAGACGACATATATCATCTATCACTGAGAATACTATAACAGTATCGGATATTATTATTTTTCTTTTAAAAATAATTTAAAAACAAAATTGAATTAATAAAAAAAAAAAAGAATATAGTTTTTATCTTTCAAATCTGAGACTACTATATGTGTTATAGTAGTCTCAGTTCAAATGCAGTTA